TGCTCGACCAATCACAGGCGGCGCTGGCGTGCGTCACGGTGATGTCATTCCCGCGGGAAAATCAAGCGTGGTGGGGGAGAATCCCCGCCGCCTCCCCCCCGCTTCCAGAGACCCGAGACCTCCGTGTACCAAAGAGATTTATTTGCCTGTAAATAAACGCGATCTTTGCAATATTTCCAAAAAAGGTGAAAGTACACTCCGCGTCCCCGGAGAACGCCGAAGGAGCCGGGGTTATTTACAAAAACCAGCAAATTTGCAGACAGGTATTTACATCCCGACCGTTTCAGCAAAGAACCATTTTTCTTTTAATCTCCATGTACGCTTCACCACCTGAGATTAAAAGGTTTGGCTTTTATTTTGCTTACACCTTTTTATCTTTCCAATACTGAAAGATGTAAAATAATTGTCGAGAATAAGCAAAAATATTTTAAAAATAAAACATTTTGTCAGAGACCAAGCATTTACAGGTCAAAACGTCTGTGTAGTCGCGTACCTCATCTCTCATCGCGGCGACAGAAGCGTCGTGCAGCCAGGGCCCGGCTCCGGTCTCTCTCTCTCTCTCTCTCACATGATTTACATCACACGACGGGGAAGGGGACAGGGCACCGAAATGGGGCGAAAAAGCTCTAAACCGCTGCCCCGGCCGCGCGCCCCTCGCAGCAGCGCTGTCGGGGGCCGGGAGGAGACTTTGTTCCCTCTATTTCTGCAGGCGACGGCGATGCCCGCCTTCCACAGGAGAAATTTAGGAGATTGAACTTTGGTCTTGGGCGAGCGGAGAAGGAAACGTGTGCAGCTCTTTCCTTTAAAATGCATCTTTGTGTTAATTACGAAGCTGAAGAGTATTTCCTTCCGACTTCTGCTGTGGTTCATACCGGTAAAACATGACTCCGATTTATGCCGGTAAAACATGACTCCGATTTACGCCAAGTCCAGGTCCCGTGAAATCCTCAGCCCTGATTCAACTTGAAGAGCGCTTCTTTTCGAAGGCCGTTTATGCCTTCACGCAACCCAGAAGGGATCAAAGAGCTTTTGTAAAATGAAACAACTTTAAAAAAACCCCCAAGCAAACGAGAGGGGCGGGATGAGGACGGGTGACAAGCTGCCGGAGTCGGAACAGGCACCGTTTCCGAGCTGCAGCCGCTGTAGCAGGGTCTCAAGATAAATTCATCTGGTGGTGTGTTTCTTACATCCTCTTCACAGACACCCCACAGTCACACGATTCCGATGCTGCGTAAGATAACGTCATTTGCTCCAGGTTTAGACTTTATTTTACTATTTTCCTATCATCTCAGCACACGAGGATGGGAGCACTGGTGAGGGGGAAGCTACGGTACGCAGACCCCAAGGATGAATGGTGGAAAACACAAGGAGGGAGAGCTCTCCAGAGCCCGGGGGGGGCTTGGGAGAAATTCAGGCTCCCACGTTCTGCAGCAGCCCTGGAATTAAGCCGAAGGCAGGAGGAAGAGGTGAAAAATCCCTACAATTAACTGAATCGTTGCCACCCTACTGAAAAGACATCAGCCTTGCTACGGCTTTGAACGAGCCGGGAAAGAAATAGCTTGCCTGGGGTATCATTGGGGTCGGACCGTAAGCAGGACTGGAAATCTCTGTGGTTTAAAAGAAACTTAAATCCTTGACATCTTTTTCAGACTGCATCCCCAAACGCGAAGTATAATCTCCTTCCCACGGGGCAGATCCTGGCCTCCAGGAATCAACGGCAAAATCCAACGGGAACAGGATTCTGCTCGGTATGTAATTCAAAAGGAGATGTGCTCGTGGAACTCCTGATTTCCCACATTCCTCTTCAGTGAATCAGATTTAACTGCTTTTAAAAATAAAACGCTCTCCTGAGTCTCTTTTCCTTTCAGGGACCCCAAGGTAAGACCACAGGGGATGCCTGAGTCATGCTCTTAATTCCAGCCAAAAGGGGAAAATCCATCTTTTAGGGAAATCACTGCTTCTGCTGCCACTCTTATCCCGGGTGAACCAGTTAGGGTCTGGTTTTCCAGCAGTGTCAGTGCTAACGCCAGGACACACTGACTCGTGCTGCCAGGCTAACACCTCCCCGAGAGAGAAGGCAACGCTCGTGCGCATTGCCAGAATTGCTATCTGAGAAGGGCGCTGCAAGTTAAAAAGCAAAAACCAAAATGAAACCCTGAAGGGCTTCAGCGACAGAAACAGATTGTGAAAACAAGGCCCATTTTTCAACCGTGAACGCACACTAGCTGTTCCATCGACATTAATGGAAGTATTCGTAGTGGATAAATTAAGCATGGCTCTGAAGTGTTCGCAGGACCGGGATGTGTGCGGCTTACAGTCCATCGCTTCACAAATGCAGCACCAGGGGATTCTGGGGAAGCTCTGTTTGCTAGGCTTACACGGAAGCAATGCTCAGATGAAGACAGTGGAGTCCCTTTTCAATTTAGATTTGCTCCAACGCCTGCCAGAATTTCACCAGCTTCACCAAAGCTACAGTGGCTGCACGTGTGCAGAGCTGTCCAAATCCATGGGCTCTACCCAAATTCCCAAGTCCCCTTGGGCTCTGCATCATACAATTAAAACAGAGACTGCGTGAAAACAAGCAGCACGAGGCATTCAGATATGGACAGAAATAAATAGCTAAAATGAAAGGGAAGTCAAACATAAGACAGCAATCCTTCATCGCTGTGACCTGGAATAAAATCCTGATATCCATCAGAACAGTGCCCGATTCTGCAGAGCAGCTCGTAGCAGAGGAAGATGAAGCTCCTCAGCACCGCGCTGAATCAGGCATTGCATGAAGAAATGCCACAAAAATAAATTAAAAAACTTTTTTTTTTCTTCCAACCACCCTTTTAAAAAGAATAAAACCCAACCCTAAAACACGGCCTAAAAGAATTAGTTTAAAACTTCCTAAAAACAAAAGCAACTCATTCGGAATGGGAAGAGGGGCAGAGGACCTCGGACTCCCCCAGAACAGCCTATGTTTCTGTTTGCACCGGTTTGGGGTCTGCTCCCACACTTACACACACACTCAGCTTTACACCCATTGACTCTAATGGGGCTGTTAATACTCATAAATTAAGAATGAGTGTAAGTGTCCGCAGGATGAAGGCCACAGTCAGGAACCTGGCTTGCCAAATGAGCTGCTGGCACTCACACTTGCTGTTCAGACTTTGGAGATCCTTGGAAATACTTTTTTTCTCTTCAAACACACCCTGTAAAAATCAGCGTGGCAGGTTTGCAACGAATGGTTCCTTTCTTGCAATCTCTAGAACCCGCAGGTCCAGCGTACAGCTCATCTTTAAAGACACTAAGAAAATTAATTGCCAATTAGAGCAACATCCATGAGATCGTCATCTTCTTCCCCGATCAAAAACTCGGGGCTAGCCCGGGATGGTCGCTCGGCCGACAGGATAGCGCTGCTTGCCATGGAGAGAGACTGGTCAGCTGAAATGGGGGACTTAGACCAGCTCTCTGGCTTCATGCTGTGAGACTTCTTCTTGTCTCTCTCTTTATCTCGATCCCGATCTCTGTCCCGGTCTTTGTCTTTCACTTTTTTCTTCTCTTTTTTGTGCTTCTTGTGTTTTTCTGAGCTATATTCAGGCAAAGGCCTAATGCCGTCGTCAGAGCTGGGGCTGTTCTGGTAGGATTTCTCTGCTATGGAAGAGCCTGACTCACTCTCGCTGTCTATGTTTTGGGGAGTGTATGCTGGTGACTTGCTGTGGCTGGGAGAGCAGCGCTCGTGTTTTGGAGTAGATCCACTGATTAGAGGGGACCCATAGCTTTTGGAAGAAGCCATCTGAGGCCTTAGGCTATCCCCACCTCCTTCCCCGGGTTTCTGCAAAGTTACTTTGGCTTTAATGCTAGGGGAACCACCATCGTGTTTGCTGATGATAATTTTGGCCACTCCAGTGCTTCCAACATTTTTGGAATCGGAAGTCTTCTTGGAAGAGTCAACAGATCCTCCAGAAACAGAGACTTTAGATTTCTCTTTGTCACTCTTCTCGCGTTTGCCCTGGAACTCACCTCCAGACATATTGTGTTTGGAGGACATAGTATGGCTTGAGGAATTGGAACTTGGCCCCATTTGTCCATCCATCGGGTCGTCTCCACCAGGCCCGCTAGTGACAACCCCATGTTTAAGTTTGTCTATGACTGCAGTCAGCGATGGCTTCTTGTTTCTGCTTGGAGACTTGCCTTTGGAACTTCCATGCTGGTTCTGAGATGAAGAGATGGAAGACCCACTAGACGAAAAGGAAGATGAAGATGCCGTTGAAGAATTCGATGAAGGAGGTGGTTTCTGTGACATAGACCCAGAGGATCCCATTCCTGAAGACGATTTCATACTTGAGCTTGATCCGGTCCCAGACATATGGGAGCCCCCGGAACCTGAACTGATCGGTGACTTGGCTTTAGATGACGGGGGAGTACCCGGGACAGGTTTCATGGGAGAAGCAAGCTTGTCAGAACTTCCCGAGGGTCTCGAATGAGATGGAGAGATGTTTGGTTTACTCATGGAAGGGTTCATAAGTGACGATGGCTTTCCTTGAGGCTTCACCTTGGTGCTTCCAGAACCGCTGCTGAGGCCGTGTTTGGTGATGGGGGAGGATCCAGGCTTTCCCACCGACTGAGCCGAGCTTTTGGACTGACCTGAACTTGAGCCGCCTTGGCTTGAGTAGAGGCTGCTGCTCATCTTTGAGCCAGAAGACCCTTCTGATTTGCTGCTTTTAATTTTGCCTGAGGTTGAAGAGGAGGAAGAAGAGGAGGAGGAGGAAGAATGGCTATGATGGCTTTTGCTGCTGGAGGAGGTGACAGAGCCACTACTTGTATACTGGCCATGTGAAGACGGTTTGCCAACAGTCACTGTTCCTTTTGGGATCTGAATAGTTATTTTTGGAATAGGAGGAGTAGCTACACCGGGAGGAGTCTGAGATCTGCCTGAACTCCCAGGAGATTTGGACCCGCCTGTGCTTGCTGGTGGCGTGAAAGGCCTGTTTGATGAACTGTGAGATGGAGATTTCCCATCTGTCTCCTGCTTTTTCCGCTTTGGAAGTTTCTCTTTACTTTTACCATCACTGGATGGCGTCCGGCTGCGCTTCCCTGGCTTCCCGTCCATCCCGGGACCTGCCATGTTACTTCCAGAACCATTGCCTTCCTTTACCCGTTTCTGAGACTTTTCTTTTCCTAAATCCCCTGTATTCAGTAAAGGGCTCTGACCTCCACTGTGATGCTCCATGATGTCAGAGGACCCCAGCGCTTTGCTTGCAGCTGCAATAATACTAAAATCTACCGTATCGGACTGATTGCTCCCCTTAAATTTATTTTCCCCCCCATCGCCCCCCAAGACTTGCACCCCCAAAGTAGTTAGAGCCTGGGATGCGTAGCCCTTGAAATCATCAGTGTCTCCACTCTGACTACTCTCATCAAAGTACTCCTCCCCAAAGCCACTCTGGCTCTGACTGTTCAGCAAGTCAGGATTGAAATCTACTCCATCTGGAAAAAAATGGTTTGAAGAATCGCTGTTGGGGCTCACAGCAGCGTCTGCTATCAGGTCTGCTGGATCTGTGTACGGGTTCTCGCTATTGTTCGTCTGAAAAACATCTGGGTCAAAGAGGGCACTTTGTGAATGTCCTGAACTAGAAGAGTCTCTTACTGGGGTACCAATGGGTGGACAGTCCTCATTACTGGTGGGTAGCTTGGAAGCCTCCTCTGCTATATCCGAAAGGATATCAGTAACATCGGCTCCAATGCTGTCCGAACTAGAAAGTCGAACCATTCTCTGAATACTGGGCTGCGAGTGAGGTATAGGCTGTGGGTATGTAGTAGGAGGAGTGCTGCATTGGCTGGGTGCTGGAGTAATATGAGGGGTGTCCAGGGTGTCTGCAGTCATGTTGACATCAAAAATGGGGTTCTGGGAGTCAACATCCATTGAAAAAAGCTCCCTCTGGAAATCATCCTCAGTCTGATGCTTGGGCTTGTCGGCCGGCATGCGGGATTTTTTTTTCTTTTGCTTATTCCCCCCAGGGCCCATTTCCATTCTGGGGGAGCCAGAGGAAGAGTTCTGCCTTTCGAGAGGGCTGCTCCCATACAGAGTGGAGAAATCCTGAGGGGGATTCTCTTTAAGAAGGTTCATGAGCATGGGGTGGTTCTTGGTGTTGCTTGCTGGTGAGGATACTGGTGGTGGTGTGTGATGGGGAGGGGTTGGACTTGAGCCAATGGTAGACCCCACATTCCCTGTGATCTGCAACAAACTAGTGAGAATAGGGTTCTGAGACACTTTGCTGAAGTCCTCCCCATGGCCCACCGAGTCATGCCTCTCTTTCATGCTTATGCTCATGTTAAACAAAGTAGTGATGGGCCCCCCAGGAAAAGTGTTTGTTGGGGTAGTGGTACCACTCATTGGGTTGCTGCCTGTGGTCATGCCATACCCTGGGCTGCTGGCTGGGGGCAGGTTTTTCTTCACCATATCTTCTACTGTCTCTGCAATGAGGGACAAGGCTGGGGTGTCTGCTTGAATCGTTTCTGCTTTTCTACGAATTGCTCTCATGGTGACAGGAATGGACATACATCTGCAAGACACAAGACAAAGGGTTTAGCGGGCATTTTGCTGCCCTACAGCAACGTTCGCTGAAGACGTTTTAACAACTTCATCAGGCATAAAGCAAGCAGTGAGGCTCTTGGGCGCAAGAGAGCAACAGGTCCAGGCACCGTAAATGTCCTGCCGTTCTGCTTGTATTCACACTTATCCCATCACGCTTATCTAGCCACGAGACAACCGTGCCTTCACACATTGCCTTGCAATCACAAAGGGAGAATTAATCAATCGATTAACGCTAATAACTAATAGCTGACGGATCATGATCTTGTAGTTAAAGCACAGGATGCAATCTGGGTTGTTACTCTGATTCTGCCAGAAAACACCTTTGTCCAAGCTCGGCAAACCTAATGTCCTGCAACCCCGTAAAAATCAATGGTAATGCCACATTACGCTCAAGGACGACAAGCCTGTAATGTTCTGAAAGAAAAGATAGCTGTCCTCACTGAAGAGGCCTGTGCCACGCACTGTTAACATTCTGCTGTGTTCTGAATGGTGGCTGGGGTGGAGGAACCTCGATCAAAGGCCTGGGTAAATGACAAACTGCAGGGGAGCTCTTCCGCAGTTTACAAGACTTAGAAAGCAACCAGCTACAGGAGAAGGCACAAATAGGCAGGCGCCTCGGACACACACCCAAAAATACGTAGCTATGGTTCAGCATCTGGAATGGAATTTTCAATAGGGCTCCAAGCTTTCCTCTCTTCCAAACAACCACTACCAAAACTCACCCACAGACAGAACGGTTCCGAAAGCGCTAGGATAAACATGAGAGAGACACAGAGTTCATCTATATGATTTGGAGGGCATGGTGGCCCCAAAAAATCCAGCTTACCTTTGAACAACTTTGGCAATGAAATCATCTGTACAGATAAGAGCATCGGACAGCCCTTTGTACAGCTTACAGTTCACATGAGTGGAGTCTTGCACATCCATTACCACTAAAAGAGAGAAGGCGTTTGGAAGAGATGAAAATCCTGGTTACAGTGGAAGAAAACCCTGCCATCCTTCCCGTAAACACACTCATGCTTTTACCGAGTCCACTTACCACACACTAAGGAGTCATTCACAGGATGCTGAAAGGATACGCTAAAACAGGAGTCAGAGAGAGGACAGACTTCGAACTGCAGGATCCCAGGAGAATCTGAAAGACATGGGAACTGTTAAGTTAGGGGACACAGGAGATGAACCAGAGGCACCAGCTCAATACCCCTGTTCAAAGAAAAAGAAAAAGAAAAAGAAAAAGAAAAAGAAAAAGAAAAAGAAAAAGAAAAAGAAAAAGAAAAAGAAAAAGAAAAAGAAAAAGAAAAAGAAAAAGAAAAAGAAAAAAAAAAAAAAGGAAGGCGGCATAGGCCTCATTTCTTATTCCTACACCTGGGAAAATTACCCAGGGTTTCTTATTATCCACACCTTATATTCCACTTGATGCGGTACCCACCTTCTTTTAAAACTGTTCGCTTGACACAGCTGCCGATCAGTGTGTTGTACGCCACCTGATGTCTGATCAAATTGAGGATGAGAGGAACCCGTCCAGGGTGCTGGAAGGCGATTTTGCTAATCAGAGTTCCTTGAAGGCTTCTTCCATCTGGGAGAGGAGCATCTTTGTTCAGAAAGTAACAGTGCTGCTGCCCTGGAAGAGCCTGACAAACAATTTCTGCTTTACTCCAACTACTCTCGGGTACAAGGCAATAACAGACATCTAGGAAGGAAAGAGCAGGCCCCAGATCCAAGAGATGCCAAGCCACCTTTCTGGCTGAAAATGGCAAACAATGAAGACACTTTCCTTCCAGTCTGGACAAGCAAAACACAATTTCAGCTCCTCAGCAGTAGTACTGCCGAACAGTATTCACTGTCCCCACTAAAACAGCTTCATACGGTATGGCATCCCTTCGGAGGAAAAGGGAAATCCTCGGAAGTTAACAGGAGATCCATCGTTAACAAATTTAAGAACCACGATTTCTCCCAAAGTGACGCGATTCATTCAGCCACACATTACAGCCCGAACAAGAGGAAGGGACAGAAGCCGGGAAGGCTCAGTCCCATACCTCTGCTGACATTCCTGCAGCTGCACTTCAGCAGCAATGGATTATTCATTACCTAATTTTCCTAATTACTGCGGTCATGTCTGTATCTGAATTCTAATGCTCGGAGAGCATAGTTTTTGCCTATGAATAAATGCTGTACCAATTTCCTTTATTCTACTTGAAAGATAACCGAAACAGATGAAAAACCCCAAACCGCTCATCTAACAAGTATAACACCCTGGCTGTAACAACATACTTACTGCATAGAAGCGCATATTGTGGTTTAAAGGTAGAGGATCAGCCTCCTTGGATAATTCAAACTGCGTGATCAGCTCATACAAGGGTACAAACGTTGGTGGCGTGTCGAACAACGGAATACCTGAGGGAACAAGATGGCACAGAACGATAGCACCTGGGAGCCAGCAAGAGATCGTGGGCCAGGGAAGGCGTCACCATCTAGTAAAGGAAACCTATCCAGGTTTTACTGCACACAGAGCACGAAACCTCGAGCAACTTCTCTGGCACACGTTAAAAATTAGCAGCAGTTTATTCATAAAAAGCAAGGGAGTATCTGTCTGACAGCTCTGCAACCCACCTGTGCAGCCCTGAAGCTTCTGAATGAAAGCTCGAGACACTGGAATGGGACGTGGGAATTTCAGGAAGAAACAAGCTGGTAAGTCCACGCTGTTGGCACTGGTGATCGACGAGAAAGACGGAGTTCTGAAATATTTGGTTAATACAAGATCTTATTAGATGCAGGGCATGACTCTGGCTTCCGCTACGAGCACCGGATTTCCAATTTACTGTTTGCTCTAATACAAGCAGATTGTTATACCTTCTTAAAAATTCAGACACTCCCCAAAAGCATGTCACATGCCTGAAACACGTATTTCTTGGCTTAAAGACAGCATATAAGTGCTTTCTATAATGCTATGACATCCTGCAGTCATCTCCCCACTCTGATTTCAACAGAGGAACAGTTGAACTTGCATCTAAAGAAGGCCGCTGCAGAAGGCCTGGCAGACCCGTCCTTTGCTTACCCTTTGCTGTCAACTGGATGAGAGCCCATAATCAGTGGTGCAATTGGAAGTTTGTACATAGCCATGGTTCCCTCAACTGTTACCGACACATTCATACCCAAAGACCGAGGAACTGCAAGAGGAGGCAAGAAAAAAAACCCCAGCAACATAAGCTGATGAAAAAAAAACAACGCAAGCTTTATGAATTAAATACCACTATGGTGGAAATATTTTACTTCCTCCACAAGGCACAGTTTTCAGCGTTCACCTTTAGCACTAAATGGACAACAGCCAAACTAGTTATGCTACCTAATGCTCTATTTTTCTTTTGCAAGGTAGACCAATTGCATAATTCTTAAAATATATTCCAAATGCATTTGCAAGTTTGTAGTATGCTCTTTACAAAGCAAAACAAATAATGATTTTGGACAATTTCACCCTCTTCTTTCCCAAAGCCAGCCTCAATTTTAATCGGTGCTTGGTTTTGTCATTTCAGCGAGAGACAGATGTCTATGTACGTGCATAAAAAATAATCTTCCAGCAAGATGGCAGAGACGCAAGTATTCCCACAATAAAATAAATCCCATGTTAACGATGAAATTCACCCTAAGGAAAAAGGCTCTGCCTGCAGACTGTCACCCCATCACCCTTGGCAGCAGTTCAAACTCCAGAACAGCCACAAGGTTCAAGAAGATGGTCAAGCGCGCCAGCATTTACACATGGCCTTATTAAACCCGTGTCCTCGGTAAGTCAACCTGTGATTCTTCTGTACTATGGGGTGACGGCAGAGGGGAGCTAGACTGTTGGAATTCTGCTTTCTTCTCTCCTTCAAGCAGTAGTAGTCCACACGAGCTTCTAAAGCTGACCTACCGTTGTTCTCGTGCAAAATAACGGGGGCTCCAGTGCCATCTTCAAATAAATCATAGGGCGAGACATAATACTTGAGATTCATCAGGAGACCTGTGGGAGAGAAGCTTCTGAACAGGCATCCCGACGATACAAGTTAACCCAATCATTATTCACCCCTGCAACCACACAATATTTGCACTGTAACACAGCACACACTGCGCAGGGCTGCTAGTGCGCCTTGAAAGAGTTGTTCTCTGCTGTTAAAGACACAGACATGGCCAGCTGCCATGAAATCACCGTGTGTCCTTCATAAAGAAAAGCTGGCTTTCTCAATCATGTGGGACTTACAAATACTCAAGCACCTTGTCCCTCTTTTAATTTGATTAGCATTTTCCATTACTGCCATCAGTTAATGTGAAACTAACGTCCGTAAAGGGGACCCTCAACAAAGTAATTTTTATTTTTTCCTTTTTTAAGTGTTAACCAAAGATACCTCCGCTCCTGGGGGTGAGATAGCCAACACTGCCATGAAGAATCTTGTCGAGGGGATTTGCATTGGTGGCTTGCCTGCAAGAGAGGCAATCACAGGTCTGTAACAAGGCAGAGTCATACCTGAAGCCAAAATTCATGTGCTGATGGCAGTCTAAGATTTTAGCGCAATATACACACTTCTCGGTCACAGAGGTAGCGATCTTAAACTTCACGCTGCTGTAGGCAAAACAAAAGCTACTTTACTCTCTACAGCACGGATGGTTTATCCACTGAATCTACAGCAGTGAAAGACGGTCAAACGTTTCTCAATTTCTTACTGTAAAACACGTTACCACTAACCCATCTAGTTACAAACTTTCTTTTTTTTGCCTTTTAGACTTTCAATTGAATTCTGCAGTTACAAAGGAATTGCTCAGAAAGCTCCGAGCATTTTCTCTCTCTCTCTCTCTCTCTGTATCGTTCCCCTGCTACCACAGGTCTTCTATAGCCTCCGCACTGTACTTCTTGGCAATAACGTCAGACTACACAGGCACTGAGGGGCCGCTCTCTGGACACTCAGTACTCGGCATGATCAGAATCAGCCAACATGACACAGCGTTATTAAGAAAAAACAAACCAACAACAAAAAGCAACAAGCTATATAGATGTCCTTACCAATACATCCCTGCCATTTTTGAGAGATCCAGCTCTAAGGACTGCAGAGCTAAGTACATTTTAGTTTTAAGTTTGCTGGGGGGAAAAAAAACAAAAAAAACATAAGAAAAATTGAAAGGAACTGCAACGAAATCCAACTGACAGAAGTGCTGGCTGACAAGCTGCAGCACTTGCCATCAGATCGAGCATTTAGAAATTATAACTTGTCATTCCGCGTTCCCACTTCACCGGAAATCCTCCCTACCCGCTGTGTGCATGTGCAAGCCATGGCGATGAAGTCAGTAGGATCACACACAATGAAAATTTAAGCACAGGACAAAAAGCTTGTAGATTTGTTTAATTTTATATATGTGGTTGTAAATAAATATAATACATATTTTAGACTTACTTGTCTCCTGGCAACTTATACAGGTTCACAAGCCCCCTTAAATGCTTAGAAAATTCATCAAAATTTTTCTCTCTGAAAGGAAGAGGGAGAAAAAGTAACATGTATTCAAACTCGTAGCAGATAAGGTTTTGTTTTAAAAAGCTCTATTAATACAGACACTAAGTCACTTAAGAAAAGATTTTTGCTACACGAAAGCTACAAAATGTGTTCTTTAAATGATCCAGCTTTAATGATTCTGATGAATGTTGTGCTGTGGCTTCCAAGATACCATGCACAGCAGTCAGAATCAGAAATATCCGAACCGAAGCCGGAAAATCCCCTGGAGAAGCAGAGAGACCTTGCGGGGAAGGAACGGTTATGAAACATTTTGCGTTTCCAGACATAAAATAGCATCAGATCAATACTGCAAAGAGAAGCCTGTCAGAAAATGCTACAAACTACTCCTGTTGCTCACCTCAGATGTTGCACCAATTCTGGACAACTCTGAAAAGGAAAGAATATACAACGATATCAATGTCGAATGCAGCAATTTCAGTCTTTGTGCAGCACAGCAACTGTAAAATATCAGGACAGTAAAGTTTCTGAGCATCAGCTTTTCATGAGAAGCAACACAATGCTCACAACTACACATTACTCTGGTTCTAGTTCTGTTCGTCAACCCCCTCTGGGAAAAAATCAAGCAATACTATTTCCTCTTTAACGACTGATTAACTTTGAAAATTGTGAAGCCTTAGGTTAAAAACCTACGATCTTAAATAGAGATACTAAGAATAGTCTGTTTTCAGAAGAGTGGCCAATGTAAATAGCAAGTTCAAACTCTCATCCATGTGCAGAAGGGAAGTAAAGCCATTTTCTTCCAGCCTTCCACGTTTCAGTATTTTCCATTCACAGACTTCAGTTTTAGAAGATTAATTTCCCTATCCTTCCTCCGCAATTAACATTCTCAGAAACACAGCAATAACTTTCTCAAATAATGTTACCAGTTATAAAACCACTCAGAGAAAAAGAGAGACCACCAGTAAAACGGTCCTCGCACACGTACGCTACATCGATCAGATTAACCCACAAGACTGGACAACTCCACGGAGGCTTTTACTTCCCATTAGAACAAGCAGCAGAGGTGTAACGCCAGGTCTAGCAGAAAATTAAATATAATCCATTTCCTCTGCTCAAACAAAAGGAAGCCAAAATGGCAGTTCCAAAACCACAAAGGTATTACCCTCATCTGCGTCAGTAATACGTACCACGGGGTTTTCTCCATGGTGAGCCACCTTGACATCACACAGCAGCCCTGTAGGATCTAACTGGACTTCCACATAGAACATGTCTGAAGTGATGTAACATTCAGTGCCATTTGCACTAAGGTGAGATCCAAGGCTTACATACAAAACAAAACAAAAATTGCTATGAGGTGCACACAAAAAACAATCAAACCAGCAGTGAGATTATGATGTGTACAGATAAACAGGAAAAGCTTTTGCCATATAATAAAGGAGAAGACCTACCCATTTTGTCTAGCTATAGACTCTAAGCGATCCGTCATGGCAGGCAGAGAAGATACTAGATGGAGAGAGCAAAAAACAAGGCTTAGTGAACCCCGGGAATCAGCATTAAAACAAAGCTCAACTAGTTACTCCTTCCCACGTCTGCTCACACCTTCACATGTGGAACTACATACATCAGCTGTACTCAAAATACAGGCAAAACAATTTGCATAGAGCAAACCAAATGTTGTCAGAACTGCAAGGAGAGAATGGATTTTCTTCTGCAAGTGGAATTCAGGTAGGGGTATTTACAATAAAACTAACGCAGGCAATCTTGACTGGTACTGAGATAAGTGTGTTTATGTAAACGTGAGCACACATGCACTAGGAACACAGTGAAACGTGCTAGCAACAACCTCGCTTGCTTTTATGATTCAGAGTATTTCCAGAGCATGGCACTGTTAAGCAGTTTGTAAAGTGCGCGCACAGAATGTACCAACCTTTTAATGCCTTCTGCAAAGTCTCCAAACAGCTCACCAGATGTTGGTGCCCCCCAGAGTTCATCACAACTCGTTTTTCCTTAGTCACAAAAAAGAAGAAAAATGTCCTTTTTGTGTATCGCTCAGTAAGAGGGAATTATTGCAACTTTTGATCAGTCAAGTGAGGTTTATTTAGGTAATTAAAAGCAGATTAGATTTCATTCCAAAATTACATCCTCATTTTGATTCCTGTAGGAGCACAGTATCCATTTTGGAAGCAGGTAACAAAGGCAAGCCTGGCATTGATTTATTCTCCTTTAAGCAACTTGCTCATCTGGAAGAACAGACTGTAGCAACTTTTTAATAGGTATAAGCTAAGGGCTGTATAAGAGACAACAGAGAAATAACGAGACAGGCAAACTTTCCACACCACAATATATGCAGAAGCCTTTGATGTAGCTCTCCCTTGCCTCCTGCTTCTCCTTCCCCCCATCCAGAGACCAATATTTCAAATCCACGTTTGACCAAGCCAACACCGAGTTCTGAATATCACTGAAGGGGGACCAAACGGCTTTACAAAACACAATATCCTGAAACAGCAAGCGGCAGAATGGTTTGGGCTTCTTAGCACTGGCTGAAACCCCAAGTTTGACCCTTTTCCTGGCACTGAGCTGACTGCTGCCCCGGGTCAATTAGGCTGTAGAGGGGGAGGCTGTAATTAGGGAAGGCAAAGGGACGCCGGACGGAAAGGGTTCGGACATCACTCCCTCCCCTGCACGCTGCGGGGTGTGAGAACTGGCACGCCTCAACCATGCTGGCCCAGGAGGAAGTCAAGGCTTGAACAAAACGTAAAGCACTTCGAAGAGATCTAACAAACCAACAACAAAATTATTACTAAAGAAACTTCAGAAACCCTCCTGCTCAGATCCCAACAATTCTCACCATGACTTGACGGACTAACTTCATGGTTTCTGTCCAAGGTCTGTTTTGGTTGTACTTTGCGTGAAGTCTTTCTAAGAGGGTACTCATCTTATTCAGCTTCTCCGTTTCTGTAAGACAGGGGAATATTCAGAACAGAAAATGAGACAATATTTGCAGTTTTACAAATAAAACAGTTTGGCAGTTGTAACAAAAATACTTTCCGCCTTTAAGCTAAACGCGATTTCAAAAAACTTGTTTACTGCTGATGTATCCCTGTGACCTAGGCCTTAAGGTTAAGTAAATATTAAGCATATATCACGAGCTATCAAAACCTAAAGGACCATAAAATGCCTACGGGCCTGCTGGGAAAGGCCCAGCTCCTATTCGGCGTGGACTCTGAATGACGTGGCCCCATCAGGTTAAGTTCTGGCATGACAGGAACATATCGGGGCACTGTTTGGAGACACAACGGCGTGGTCTAAAGATGAAGCTTCCCCGGGAGAGGAAAGGGAGAGTGCAGAAAACATGGCGTTAAAGAAATGAGGTTAAGCTTCCTTTCCTCGACTGCCCCTTGCTGTTCTCTCTTCCAACTCTCCAACTTCTTGTACAGTAAAGACCTTCACAGACCCTTCCATCACCAAAACCCACAACCAAATCGGTCCGATTGCCAGTTGTCACAAATTCGCTGATCAGACACCCTCCTGCCTCACGCTAGCTTGAAACCCGAGGGCTGGTGCCTCCTGGGTGCTGTTCTAGAGCCAGGGCACGGCTCCGTACGCTGTGAGATAACGAAGCAGGGGACGACTGGCGGGGTCATGGATCTCTACCAACCCGGAACCTACTCAGCCTTTACAAAACACCTCTCATATCCCACAGGTTCCCATCTACTACCTGTGGTTCTACAAGCTTATTTCTGTATAAAGTTCCACTGTTATGAATAATATCTCCCTGATGAAAGAAAAGGTGGGATACAGGAGCAGTGACTAAGCAACAAAGCAGTGTTGGACAGTTTAGCTAAAAAAGTTCCAAGATGAAATTGTACATTTTTTTCCCTACTATCTAGTCAGACACGTGCACAAAGAGAACGCAGGTTTCAGGAGTACCATAATTTTGTCTCTTTTTGCTAAGAGACAGCTTTATCTACACTTGCATTTGTTAAAAAATCCCAGCAGACATCACTGCCAAAATAAACCCTGTCACTGGCACTAGTGGGTCACAGGCAAACAGATGTCTACGACATTTTAACTGCCACAGCGCGCAACCCTGTAAGCCCTCACCTGCACAATTTCAGGGGTTTGTTTTCATTATTGATGCACGTGGAGGTCACAGACCTAACGCTGACCCTATCAAATCCAAGCGTAAGGAAGAAATCCATGTTTGCTAGGTGCTTTACACCTCTCAGCTACGTCAGAATCACAGAACGGTTGAGGTTGGAAGGAACCTGTGGAGGTCTCCCGGTCCCAGCCCCCCGCCCAAGCAGGGCCACCCGCAGCCGCCTGTCCAGGGCCGTGTCCGGGCGGCTTTGAACCTCTCCGAGGAGGGAGACTCCGCCACCAACCTGGGCAGCCTGTGCCAGCGCTCGGGCACCCTCAGAGTGAAAAAGTCCTTCCTGATGCTCAGGTGGAGCCTCCTGCCTTTCAGTTTGGGGCCAGGGCCCCTGGTTCGCACCTGAAATGAGCCGGGCTCCCTCCCCCCCGGTATTTATGTGCATTGAGGAGACCCCGCTAAGCCCAGGGACGGGGGGAGTTCTGCCAGATCTCAGCAAAGTCAGAGCCTCACGACAACATTCGCCTTTATTTTTTCTTCAAAAACGGAACCCCCCCGCAGCCAGCACGAAGACCCCGAGGCCCGGCCGGGG